TGCGACTATAATCAGCTGTTCTAAACTTCCTCATTGGAAGTCACGAAAAAAGCGGTGGGTTTTTCGAGAAATTGTTGATTATGTAATTGCCGGAGAGTTCTTCGTCTTTTTGTAAGTGTTATTGACGCGTTTGGCCTAGTAGATTGTATATCAGTATACCCTTCCAGGCTCTGAAGAAGGCGATACTGCCGAAACGTCAGCTAGCGTTGNACAGGAGTCCAAAACACCAGCGCGAAAACTCCTTGAGGCTTTTTGGATCAATGCCAAAAGCCCTACAATGAATAGCAGGGACGAATACCCGGAGATCATACGCGACCTGATCTCGTACGTTCGCATCGATTTTTGATGTGGGATAGTGCAGTCGTCAACCACATGCGACTATAATCAGCTGTTCTAAACTTCCTCATTGGAAGTCACGAAAAAAGCGGTGGGTTTTTCGAGAAATTGTTGATTATGTAATTGCCGGAGAGTTCTTCGTCTTTTTGTAAGTGTTATTGACGCGTTTGGCCTAGTAGATTGTATATCAGTATACCCTTCCAGGCTCTGAAGAAGGCGATACTGCCGAAACGTCAGCTAGCGTTGTATTGTATTGTGTTTTTATGGAAGTAAATGTATGCTGTTTAAAAACCTCGCGATTGCTGAACAAGAAAACGACACATTCATATTCCAATGCCGAGGTTAAGAGAAAGTCGATCTTGGGAACTAACGCATGATAATTCTGCAAACAAAAAAAAAACGCATCGTAATGCTCAACTGAGGAGCTGAGTAGGTGGCGCTATTTTTCATATCGCTGCGCGAGTGAAAACAACACCGCTGTAGGTTATTTTTCCGATGACCATGGATATAGAGGTGGTTATTCTTCTAAATGGATGACTAAGTGGCAAATTTCCTTTGTTGCTTACACTATAATTGGTCTTAGACTGCAAGCCGAGTGCTCTTCAGTGACCTTCATCTGCTTCGTCCTCCGCACTGAGTTCAACAATCCTCTACCTGTGGTTAATCCAAATTTATTAATTCAACATGATTCAAAAAAATCACACGCATTTTCATCTTCCTGGAGCTTCTACCGCAGCCCTCCTCAAACGCCAAATATATCTTAACGTGCTATCTTCAATGATAAAATGCCATAATATCACAAAATGTTTTATGTCAAACGAGCAATTTTGTTCTACGAATCACGTTTGACAGAGAATGCACTAAAAATTAATGAGCGATGTTAGTAGAGTGGACAAAATTTACGAAAATTATGCTATTCATTTTGCTACCAATGATTACAACTATAATTATAAAGGATAGAAGGATGAAGCTCTCTACATTGACCAATCCACTTCATTAATCATCGTTTGGAGGTCATTGAATGCTTATCTGGCCTTTACAATTACTCGCGGTGGTCTACCGACAAGTCCGGCACCAATTTGCCGACCCCGGAGGGATGGAAAGCTTGGTGGGCCATGAGGGCTAGGATCGATTCCACGTGGGTGTCGCAGTGCGCCTCCAACCACTGCGCCACACGCGCCCTGCTTCCCTATGTATCACCTATAATCCTTCGAGTGCTGTACTACTACGTATCATTGCAAAGCTCATTTTGTGCACTATATATACATGTAATAGAATTTCAATATAAATTTTGTTCTTAAAAGACTTAAAGGTTAGATTTTCAAAAGCGAAAATAGCATTTCGACCAATCAACATCAGTGAATTCGAAGTGGGACGTAAGAAGCGCCAACATTTAGAAAACTTGATGAGTTGCGCAACCAAGAAGCGTTAATGGTTGCACAGTGTTATTGACGACGATGAATTAAGGATTTTGTGGAAGCAAATAGACTCAAAACTGCTCGACGACCGGCTCTAGAAGGTGCTACTTGTAGTCGCGTAATGAGCAGATGTGACATCCAAACTGATGAACACAATGAAACAGAGGTGTTTGGGTTTTCAAAAAATTCGGTTTTTGGAGCGAACGAAGTGTTGTTCGCAGTATTGGACTAAGAGGGTGCAGGAAATTTCAAACCTCTAGACTGTAACCTTGGAAGGATCTGGATGACCATCTGATAATAGGAGTGACAACCAGCCATGTCGTCACATTTAAGTGATCAAGATGAGAAGATGTCTTTTGTTAAATACAATTTCTGAGACGCGACAAATTCATTAGCAAAAGCTATGGATTTCCAACGTAAAGGTTATTGTTAATAAGGCAAATGGTGCTCATCATAATGGGAAAGTCCTCATCGGAACCTAATACATTACGAAACTGTAGCCATTTTCGATGTGAATATCGCTCACTATATCAGCAGAACAACAGCAGATTTGATTTAAGGTCGTTGCATAACCAAGTCGAATTTTATAGAAAATTAGTGATGAGACACAGAATGCGTGCATATCTCTGCTCGTCCCATAGAACCACCATATTACTGACCAGCCCATATTCGCTGGTCGAGCGAAAAAAATTTGCTTGTTTGAAACACTAGCAGTTGCGGTAACTCTATACACTCTTTCATGATTACGCTGATTATATAATTATAAATCTCTCCGTAGAATGCTTAGTAGCCCTGTTCTTATTCTTTCAGGGAAAAGCTCTTCGGCGTTGGACTGCTATCTCGTCAATGGTTTATCGCCGGTAAGATTTCTCAAGCTGAGAAGCAGGTGGTGATTACCCAGTTCGGGACGAATTAGAAAACCCTATAACGGCGTTTGTGACTTTAAGCAAAGAATATCTACGTTAACGAACAATTTCTAATCAGAGGGGCATAGTGTCGGAATCTACAGAATTTTTCGCTGTTCGTGAAGAAAAGCGATTTCAGCATCAGGGTCAAATCTTTTAAACAGTTAAATCAACCTTCTATATGTCAGTATATATAGAACGGTCGTATATACTTGATGGTGTGTTTAACCGTAGATCGCAGGCTTCACAATTTCCTTCATAATGAGTGCTTCTTAAGACAATTAACCAGTCGCATTGGAAAGCAAGTTTTTTTTTTATAAGAAAGAATGAATGAAATAAAACATAAAACAAGCAGGTGGTTTGACTTTTATGCCGGTATTCAAAAGTTGATTTTAAATGACCGAAGAGACAATTCTGGTCATGGAAAGGTACCTTCGAACATAAACGTGTCGACTTCTTCTCTTATGTCTTCATCAGTGAACTCATGTGACCGTTGCATATAGAGTAAAAGATCCAGAAAAGCTAGTTTCTTTTTATTTGTACTGCCTTCGTTGTCCTCACATAGTTCTCTCTCTCCCTCTACCACAATATATTTTCGCTCAGCTATCACCTAAACACAGTTATTTGGATGTCTGCGCACAGTTTGCGAAGCAGCTTACCTTCCTAGTAAAATCGTTGGTAAGCTTGACAAGACGGTTAAACTCGAATCCAAATCCACTTAAGTACCAGATTGGCTTTAGCCATAGCCAAGGAAACCTGGTAAAGACAAAGATGACAAGAACTATCACATAAAGGTAGTGGGGGATTTAAATAGGGAAGTTTTGACTAGCAATTTTCTTCTTCTTCTTCATTTCTTTGATCACATATCATGTATTGTGCGGATTTAAACACTTTTTATTCAACTTCTGTTCAGCAAACACGAGGTGTTACTTTATTTCTTTATTTCTTTTTCTTTATTTCTTTCTTTATTCTTAAGTAACACCTCGTGTTTGCTGAACAAAAGTAGAAAGAATTATTCAATCAATGCCGAGGTTAATAGAAAGTCGGACCTGGGTGTTACTTTTCATTCAGCTAGTTGTTTCACATTCATTATCCACAAAGATCATAAGGTTTTCGCGCGGGTTCTGTTGCCTGCTTTCTTAATGAATGTCGTCAGATGTTAGAGGCGTTGATTGTCTCTGAGCTCTTGCTATAGCGCTGTTGTAACCTTTCTAGACGTTCACTACAGAAGAGATCGCCAATCTTTGCACATCGAAGGAAACTCCCAAGTGACAAATCGGACATCGAGAGACGTGGAGGCAGTCGTCTCATGTCAGGTGGAAGCAGTAACTACACTATTTTGCGCTATCTATAACTGCTGATTTTATGCTTCCTTTCGTAGGAATGATTTGCTAAAACACTGCTTTAGGTAGCATATTAATGATGATTACATGTCCTAAGACGATTTATTAACCTCATAAGCCTACATCTTCAATTTTTTGTTACAATGCCATTGTTACTATGCTTCCTTAGAAACTGCCACGTGATCCCGATGTGGTGGAGTATTACTGCTGCAAAAAAGTGCAAGCCGTTTGTACTGGTATTTTTTATGCCTGTCGTTAAGCTACCATAGCGGAAATCTAAACCATAAACGACGTTTTAAACTTATAGCGGCAATCAAAACAAATTTTGGCCGACCGTCGGCGAATGTCATAAGTCTATCTTCGATTTATTATTCAGCCTTTAACCCTAGTTTTTATTAGTGTTTGTTCTAATCTGGCTGGAGTACCTTTTCCTGTGTAACAGGAAAATGATAACAATGATAACAATATGGGTCAAATATAATCCCCACCGCTTTGACAACAAAAAAAACTAGTGAGATCGAATCAAATTGATCAGATAAATCAGATAACCGCTTACCACTTGAGAAATTGATAAATGGACTTTTAAAATTGGGACTGTCATATTTTTTCTCACCTAGATTACGCTTGTCAATGGAACCCCACAACTGAGAAACCGATGAAACAAACAGTAAAAAACCGAAGTTAAACAGAAAAGAAACAGAAAACAGAACGTATTTTACCTTTGGTGTTTCCAAAGAATTGAGGTAAGTCTTTGCACAGCCTGCACATATTCACTGTTACCATCAGTTTGACTATGGATTGGCGTTCCCATAGCTGTTTCTGAAAATGTGAGCAATTTAACCAGTATCAAGGAGCGACTAGACTTACTTTAGGAAAAGGTGGGCACGGAGTCGGGTGTTCTTTGTTTTCTTCACTACATCCCCGATGCTCTTGAAAGCCCCCAAGCCGCTCGGTTCCTTCTGCTCAGCTCTGGAGCTAAGTCGTTCAACATATTGATTTCCCGACCTAGATAGACATAATTGGAGCATTCGGAGATACTCGTTCCGTTGAGCGTGAATGGGGTATGTGAAACCAATCCGTTCTTCACGAACACCGTTTTTGTGAATTTTAGTCGAAAACCAATCTTTCCACAGGCTTTATCAAAGTCGTCAAGGGTACGTTACGCTTGGCTAATGTTTGGCGTTATAAGGACGATGTCATTAGCAAAGCGAAGATGGTGTAACTGCTGACCGTCGATTTTCACTCCCATGTTATCCCATTCCAATGTTGCATGACATTCTGGAAGGTGGCGGTAAATAATTTTGGCGAGATGGTATCGCCTTACCTAACTCCTTTTTTGACGTCAATGTTAATATCGTTGTAGAATGGTGATTGTGCAATTTGGTTGTGCAATTTTTGTACAGCTCACGAAGAATCTTTACGTACTGAGTAGGGACCGCATGGCAATCAAGGGCTTCCATGACTGCCTCTATTTCAATTTAGTCAACGGTTTCTTCGAATGGATAAAATAGAGACAGAGAGATCGTTTTTGCTCTCGCGATACTTCGATAAGCCTTGTCACCGTCTGGATGTACTTCATCGCACAAATCCTTTTCAAAGTTCCTTCTGTCAAACCTGTTTAGGATTGTTTGTGTGAAAAGCTTGTAGACAACAGACTGCAAGCAGATTGGGCGATAGTTGCCTATATCATGGAGGTCATCTTTTTTGAACAATAGGACGGTCCTGCCGGTCGGTCCTCCATTGAGTAGGGAGCTTGCGTTCAGATAGGTGACTTGTGAAGAGCCGAGCCAGGATGTTTTCTGTCCGGACCTGGTGCTATTCGATTTTTCACCGACAAAATGGCATATCTGATTTTGAAAGGGAGAACCGGTGGCACAGCATATCCATCCTCCTTTATTTCATATGACAGAAGGTTCTTCAGGTGTTCTGGTCTTATCCTGTCTGGACCTGGTGCTGTTCGACTTTTCACCGACGAAATGGCATGTCCACTTGTCTGCATTGTTTTGCAAGTTCAGACGTCAGTTCGCGGTTGCCAGCAACTCTTGCGATTCCACGCTGGCGTATCAGCTCGAGTGTTTCTGGAGACAGACGTCTCTTAGTGACTTTCGAACCCTCAGCTTTCATAGCACTAGCGTGAAGATGCCGAATGAACCGATCGTATTCCTCGTCGATGTTATCTACAACGGCATCTTCTCAACAGCCGACTAATGAATTGAATAAGTCCCAGTTTACGGAGGTTCTGGGACTTCGGTTTTTGAATTTGGCGGCTTTTTCTCCTTTTCACGAGAAATAGAATCTTGCACGAAAGAGAGGGTGGTGTGATCCCTTGTAGAATTTTGGGACAGCAGCTACATCGGTTAGGCAAAACCTTCTATTTACTATGATGTTGTCTATTTCGTCACGGTACTCTACACTGGGAGACTCCCACGTCCAGCGCTGAGGGTGGGGCTTCTGGAATTGCGAGTTACCATGGATAGTTTTGGTCGCCATGATAAACTCAGATAGCCGCTCACCCTGTTCGTTCCATCCTAATCCATAGATCCCAATGTTACGTTCTTCACACGTTCTTCTTGGTCAAACCTTGGCGTTTAAATCTCCAATGATAACCTTGAAGAATATATGGTCTTCTCTGTAAAACTTCACGAAGCACATATAGAACGCTTCGACTTTTTCTTCATCATAGTTTGATGTCGGCGCGTAAACGGCGAAGATTGTCAAAGCCGGTATTGATCCACGTCGTTTTAATCGTAAACTTCCGATTCGAGTTTTAAGCTGTTCGAATGAATCGATGTTCATGGACAAACTCGTGTTGACGAGAACGCCAACGCCGCCGACTCCTCTGCTGTCACATGTTCCGAGGAACAGTTCTTCTTCGGTGTCATAGACGGCGCTGAAAGGCTGGCGTCTTCTCGCCTCGGCCAGGGCGATGACGTCGTAACTTATCCTTCTTGCTTGCATGAGCAAGTCTTCTATCGAAAACTCGGATGCAAGTGCACTTGCACTGTAGATACAGATCATCACCATAGTTCTTTGACATCCAGGCAGCTTCCATCGGCTCTGAGATTTTAGTAGCCTCTCCGTACTCGTCCTACCCAACGCTGCGGCAAATACAAGAGGTATATGGCAAATCAGCGCTGCGAAAACAGAGAATCCATCCCCTGGATTCATCTGCGTCTCAGAAAAGCAAAGGTCACTTTTGGCTCGCGATTATTCCCCTATCCGCCACCTGGGGACGCGCCACATAGCCTCGCGACTAACCGACTTGAGATCATTCATATGAGTGAGATCCGTGGATTAAAGAATGCGAGTGAGATTTATAATATCTGAGTAGTGTCACCAACTACCTAATGAATTTCCTGTAGACCGATTGCTTAGAATTCTATATTAACCCTATTGTCGGTGGCAGTTGAAACTGGGAGTTTGTAGGGACGATCACCATATTTGCGGCAATCAAACGGAGAATGAAATCGACGAGCTTCATTCAGAAGAGCAACACACTGTATACCTAGTTTGTCGAAGGTATTAAACTTTTGCAATTTTTTTCGCCCTCACTTATTTGCAATGACTTTATCCTTGGATAGATTAGATCGTTCTAAATATGGATTAGTGTTTCTGGAAAAGGATGCCAAATGTGAGGTTATTTCTGAAGAAGAAGTGATTTTTTTTTACTTACCGCAAATAATATCCAGGGCACATCGTTTTATATAAGGAAACAAATCGAAAAATCCCTTTTCTTTGGCGATAAGGTTGACGAGAATCTGAAATCAATCAATTACTTGGGGTTCTCCTTTCTTTAGAACCTGAGCAGCTCTCTTCGATTCGAAGGAAAGATCGTACTTGGCCTTGCTGGACGAAAACCTCATGATATCCTTGTAGAACATTGAAGTGAAACGCCGATGTAAGCATTTTTCGTCGTCGAAGCCATTTCTCATTTGTGCTAAAGACATATTTACTATAGCTAAACTAGTTTATTCCAACAAACTGGAACAAAAAAGACATTTCACTTTTTTTCTCTATAAAACGGATTTTGAATGACCTCTGAACAGCCTAAGCTCTAAACGTTCCTACCGTGGTCTAAAATTTTATGCAAAAAGCAAATAAAGTAGTAGAAATCGTTGCACCAGAAAGTTTTTGTTATGTAGTTAAAGATCCCTGAAAACTGTTAGTTAGAAAATCCCAAGAGAAACGTTTACTGAAGTTCAAAATTGCAACACTGGAAGGAGGTTGACAAACTAACGATAATGTATGAGCCATACTTGGAACAAATGTGCTATTGATTGGTCATGTTTGTCTTTCCACTAGTTTTCCATTCTTAATACGAAGAAGGTGCGGATAGCATACTGGTAGTGACGCTGATCTTCACGAGCACGGCGTTGGCCCGACCCCGCCCCAAACCTACAAAGCTCTCCTCACCCCACGGGGCCGGAAATTGCCGACGCACTTGTCTAGAAAAAGTACCCTCGATAAACCAGTTAGGAACACTCCAGATCGGCTATCCCAGGTTTCCACGGAGAGTCGACTTGAACAGCATTCTACGACATTCAAGATGCAAAAAAATTACCTCAGGCAGCAGCCGAAGCCACACATAAAAAATTGGAAGATCTTCGTGGATGGTGGATGCAAGGCAACGAATCGAGTGTGAGAGGTGCTGAGATCAGCACAGTAGACAAAAATCCATTCTTATTTGCGTATTATTACATTATCATTGTTCACGCAATGTTAACTTTTTAATTATTGCCCATTCCAATTCTTCACGGCAGAGTATTATGTGGAGCAACCACAGTGATGCTGAGATATTTGCAAAACTTGGCACCAATTTGCGTTCTCTAGATCATTCCCTTTGACGGGTGATTGCTGATGGCACTGGAGGATAGAAGACTAGCTGAGAGAAAGGCGAAACGGAAGACCTGCTTGGTACAGTGGTGAACGCGTTATCCAGCGGAAAGAGTAATAGCTCGTTCGTTCCACACCGCATTCACCTGCGGTCCGGAGTTTTGTAAATATCTCAGCTTCATTGTGTTTGTTCATGCAGTTTGTGTTTAATATTATTTATTTATGTGATCTTATAAACTGATCTTCTTAAGCTGACGCAAGGTTGGTACAAATCTTCGTTGTCGTTGTTTTTGATGTTATTGATCCTTATTGATACTTCATTTGATATGAAGGGCAGCTTAAAGGGGATCCTACTTTCGTCTGAAATATTATTTTGGGAAACTACCCAAGGTTTTGCTCGAACCCGAGTGGCTTCTACTTCGTAGCCATTGGAAATGGCAATTTTCCGTGCCAGGCTTCGCGATTCCTTCCTTTCCTCTTCTTCTGTACACACATTTTTAGCAGTACGATACGTGTTTTTTATAAGTGCTTTTTTCTTGTGTGAAGGATGAGAGGAGAGACAGTGGACTAGAATGTTTTTACAGCAAGTGGCTATTTAACAAAATGGTATCGCAAGCCAAGTAGTGACCATAACCATTTGCCGTGCTGACCCATTCTTGATGAAATTTTCGGTATTGATTTCTGTATTCCTTTTCAGAATTTTTCTGTAACGCGCAAAACTCTCGAGGCGTTTTGGATAAATTTCAAAAATCCAAAGATGAACCGGAGGGACGAATGCCTCACTATCACGCGTGACCTAGGGCCCTATTTCAAAATGATATTTTGACCCCGGGCCGTGTCTTGCTCGCGACACCACGTGAACTACGTGTGGGCCAGTCCCGCAAGTAACATCACGATGAGTGGCCTTTCTGTTCATTGTGGTGTCTATTTGAAAGTTTGATCTTCATTAATACATTTACCTTCTTTTCCACCGAATAA